GTCCACGCCAAAACACCGCCCCATCGCACTTCCGTCGACAGACGCCACCACCGCCACCACCCCCACCGACGTCATACCGTTCGCCAGCGGCCCAGCGCAGTGCACCGAGGAAGACTGACGTCTGGCGCACCCATGACCATCGCCCGCTCTGCTACCACTGCGGCGAGGCCGGACACACATACCGCCGTTGCCAGTACCGACAGATGGGATTGCGTGGCTTCGCCGTCAATGCACCGCGCCCACAGCCAGGAGAACGACCACGTGACATCGCCGACTACCTGACAGGAACTCGGTGGACACCACGAAGCCCTTCGCGTTCGCCGTCGCCCAGCCGCCGCACGTCACCGCACCACCGGCAGTACTCTGGCCCAACGCGGCGCCGGTCTCCTAGCCCGTATCCGGGAAACTAAGGGCAGCAACCGGTGGAGGTGCGGTTGCTGTGCGACGAACTACCGAAGATCCTCCGACGACGACGACGCCGCGACGGAGCTTTCCGAACACAACGCCAGCCAGGCAGAGCCCTGACGGCGAAAGCTCATTTACCGAAGGTGGCCTGACGACGCAGCATGGAAGCAGCGGAACAAGCCGACGCAGCCGTGACCCGACGCCACGCCCTAACTGTAATGCGAGACGGCGAACTAGCGACCTCGACGTTCTTATCGACGGCCACAGTGTGACTGCTCTCGTCGATACTGGAGCCGACTATTCTGTCATCAGTGGGTCGTTCGCCGCGAAGTTAAAGAAAGTTAGGGCAGCTTGGAAAGGCCCTGAAATCCGCACAGCCGGAGGTCATCTCGTAACGCCTGCAGGAATCTGCACAGCGAGAGTCACCATTAACGGCCGTATTTATCCTACAGACTTCGTAGTCCTACAGCGTTGCTCGAGAGATGTCATCCTTGGCATGGACTTCTTATGCCTCCATGGTGCTGTCATCAACCTAAAAACAAAGTCGATAACGTTATCCACAGAAGAAGCACTACCGCCGCGCACGCCGTCAGGACACCATGCCTTGAATGTGCTGGAAGAACAAGTCACCATTCCGCCTCGCTCAAGCGTCATTATTTCAGTCGGCGCTCCTAAATCACCCGACTTGGAAGGCGTCGTTGAAGGCAGTCAGCATCTGTTGGTCACCCGAAATATTTGCGTCGCAAGAGGAATTGCAGAGCTGCGGGGAGGCAAAGCAACGGTTTTGCTCACGAATTTCAGCAATGAGTACAAACATGTGAACAAAGGAACAACGGTCGCATACATCGAAGAAATTGTCGAAGCCACCAGTGCTTTCGCCCTCGCCGATTCTGCGGAACCTGCTCAGAGGAACCAAGCCCCTCCCATAGCTTTCGACGTCAATCCCAGACTTCTGAACGATAAGCAAGAACAGCTCAAGGCCCTGCTCCTGCAATACGAAGATTGCTTTTCGTCGTCATCGAAAATTCGGCAGACCCCAATCACGAAACATCGCATCATAACCGAAGAAAATGCCAGACCACTCCGTCAGAGTCCGTACAGGGTTTCGACGCGAGAACGTGAGGCCATGAAGAGACAAGTTGATGAAATGCTTCGGGATGACATTATTCAGCCGTCCAAGAGTCCATGGGCATCCCCCGTGGTGTTAGTGAAGAAAAAGGATGGGACCCTACGTTTCTGCGTCGATTATCGCCGCCTGAACAAAATCACAAGAAAGGACGTGTATCCCCTCCCACGAATAGACGACGCACTTGATCGGCTCCATAACGCCAAGTACTTTTCGTCAATGGACCTTAAGACTGGCTATTGGCAAATCGAAGTCGACGAAAGAGACCGAGGGAAGACGGCGTTCATAACACCGGACGGCCTCTTCGAGTTTAAGGTGATGCCCTTCGGCCTTTGCTCAGCGCCTGCAACGTTTCAACGCGTTATGGATACAATACTGGCAGGATTGAAATGGCAGACTTGCCTTGTGTACTTGGACGACGTCGTCGTGTTTTCCTCGAGTTTCGACGAGCATCTTCGGCGCCTTGAAGCTGTACTTCAAGCCATCAAGACTTCCGGACTCACACTGAAGCCAGAAAAGTGCAGATTTGCGTATGAGGAGCTCTTGTTTCTGGGGCACGTTATCAGCAAGTCTGGAGTTCGTCCCGATCCACGGAAAACAGCCGCCATCGCCGACTTCCCGCCGCCCACTGACAAGAAAGCCGTGCGCCGATTTCTGGGCCTGTGTGCCTATTATAGGCGGTTCGTGAAAAACTTCGCCCGCATCGCCGATCCTCTCACTAACCTTACCAAGGCCGACGTGGAGTTTAAGTGGGAAACGCCACAGGAACACGCTTTCCAGGAGCTTAAACATCACCTCCAGACGCCTCCGTTACTTGCCCATTTCGACGAATTCGCCGAGACAGAAATACATACTGACGCAAGCAGCGTAGGTCTTGGCGCCGTTCTTGTGCAGAGGGCTGACGGACTTGAAAGGGTTATTAGTTACGCCAGCCCATCGCTATCCAAAGCAGAAGCAAATTATTCCACAACAGAAAAGGAGTGCCTCGCCATCATCTGGGCTACGTCGAAATTTCGCCCCTACCTCTACGGCAGGCCCTTCAAAGTTGTGAGCGACCACCACGCATTGTGTTGGCTAGCCACCTTGAAGGACCCCTCAGGTCGCCTCGCACGATGGAGCCTGAGACTTCAAGAATATGACATTACTGTCATTTACAAGTCCGGCAAAAAACACTCTGACGCCGACTGTCTCTCTCGTGCACCTGTCGACCAACCGCTACCCGACGACCCGGATGACGACTACTTCTTAGGAACGATAACTACCGACGACTTCGCTGAACGACAAAGGGCCGACCCGGAACTTAAGGCCCTAATAGAATACCTCGAAGGCAGGACCGCCGAAGTCCCGAAGATATTCAAGCGCGCACTTGCGTCGTTCTTTCTACGAAACGGTCTTCTACAAAAGAAAAACTTTTCACCGCTTCGAGCTAAGTACCTTCTTGTGGTGCCTTCAGCTCTGCGACCAGAACTCCTGCAGGCCTTTCACGACGATCCGACGGCAGGGCACCTCGGTGTTTCTCGCACGCTCGCGAGGATACAAGGAAGGTACTACTGGCCACGTCTTACCACCGACGTCACTCGTTATGTGAGAACATGCCGGGACTGTCAGCGACGCAAGACACCGCCGACAAGGCCAGCGGGACTTCTGCAGCCAATTGATCCACCTTGCCGACCTTTCCAGCAGATTGGTATGGACCTACTGGGGCCGTTCCCGACGTCGGCTTTCGGAAACAAGTGGATTGTGGTAGCTACCGACTACCTCACCCGCTACGCCGAGACAAAAGCCCTGCCAAAAGGCAGTGCATCCGAAGTAGCTAAATTCTTCGTCGAAAATATCGTCCTACGTCATGGCGCCCCAGAGGTCCTTATCACCGACAGAGGAACGGCATTCACTGCCGACTTAACTCAAGCAATCTTGGCATACAGCCAAACAAACCACCGCCGGACGACAGCGTACCACCCACAGACCAACGGCCTCACCGAGCGGCTTAACAAGACGATCGCCGACATGCTGTCAATGTACGTCGATGTCGAACACAAGACGTGGGACGCCATTCTTCCGTATGTGACCTTCGCATACAACACGGCGGTGCAGGAGACGACGCAGATATCGCCATACAAATTGGTCTACGGAAGGAACCCGGCAACGACGCTCGATGCCATGTTACCCAACGTCACCGACGAACAAAACCTCGATGTGAGCGAGTACCTTCAACGCGCCGAAGAAGCCCGACAACTTGCGCGTCTCCGTATGAAGAATCAACAGACGACCGACAGCCACCGTTACAACCTTCGACGACGCTTCGTGGAATACCAGCCCGGTGAACGTGTTTGGGTGTGGACGCCGATACGCCGACGTGGACTAAGTGAAAAGCTTCTGCGACGGTACTTCGGATCGTACAGGGTGGTTCGACGGCTCGGCCCACTTGATTACGAGGTTGTCCCCGACGGCATCACGAACTCTCAACGACGCTGATCGCGACCTGAAGTCGTCCATGTCGCGCGCCTCAAGCCGTTTCATGCGCGTTAACAAACTGAACTAGTGTTTTTTTTGTATTATTGTTGTATCGTAATTTATTCATTGTACTATCTTGCAATAATATTGTACTTTCATCTTTAGTTAAAGCATCGGGACGATGCCTTTTTTCAGAGGGGGGCAATGCCACGTTCCATTTCCCAAGTTTTTGTTATCGTCCGAAAACACCGCGCGATTCTCAGCGCAAACCGCGCCTGCAGTTTTCTAGAAGGTTCCGGACTGTAGTATATCATTTCGATAAGATCACGCCCACTGTGCGAACGGTACAGATTGTTCTGGAACCTACGCCACCGCTAGCGATAACGCTAGAACATTCGGCGGCAAGAGTATAAATGCCGACGCGCTTCGCCGCTTGTCAGTTGTTGATCGAAGGCCGACGCTCCGTTCGTCGCTATCAGTCCGAGACTGCTATCTGTGCGAGACTGCTGCTGTAATTGGATTTTCAGTTTACCGGGCACAGGTTCGCCCAAATAAACAGTTAAATCCTAACACGAAGTCTCCTGTCTTCGGCCACGTCACGACCCCGTGACAATATGAACGCGATTCTTTTGCCGACGTCAAGGTATGTCTATAGAGTAAGCTTGGAACAGAGTTCCCAGCACAGACTTGTCTCCATGCTAGAACAATGGGCTGACACTAAAGGTACCCTGGCTCGAATCTCATCCTGTTCTTATTTTTCACCACTGGCAGTTGGCAACTATGGTGCACGTGAACATTGTTGTGAGCTGATAACAGGTTTAGCTTGGGAAAAGAATAGCAGATCTTACGCGCCATGGAAATAAATTTTGTGCAAAGTATGCCCATAATTTTGCGCCAAGTGTGTCTACGAAGAATCGTTGCGGTTACACAGCTAGATTTCTCCTATAAGTTCACATTATGTCGTTTTGACGTATCGCGCTTCCCTTGCTCCACACTTTTTCATGGCATTTCGCAGGTCGTCAACTTTGAATTGGCCACTTTGGAAGACCCCATTTTGTGCTTCTTCAACTGGAGGAGCGGTGGCAACGGTTCCATCGACCTGGCTGCTTACGGCGTGAGAGTGAAGACGCAACTTAAGTTCGTCCAGGGAATTCCCACTGAGGACAGCCCTGCTCCCAGGAAAATTCTCGACGAGCATGAAGGACCAGTGACCACTTCGTTGCGCGTGGCCCGTGTTACGTTGCATATTGGTGATTCAAGCCGAAATAGAACCACAACCGCCGGATTTTTGAGGCATCTGGCACTAGCGTCCATCCAAGCTACCTGGGAAGACGTGTTCGTACCCAAGCTTGTACACGCTCTCAAGTAACAATGATAAATATACGACGCCTTTATGTCGGAATAAAGCTGTAAAAAGGTATATGCATTGGTACGGACCGTTTAGTTAAATAGCTATGTGTATTGTTACTTTTTAAAGCATGAAGTATTCGCCCTTAGTAGCAATAAAGCGGTGCCGAAGCTGAACTTAGAGCTAAAATTTTAGAGACGTATTGTCAATTTGTACACAAGAGTGAGCCTAGCAGTACATATTTCAGAAACTTATGGCTAAGAAAACAACACGTGTACCCAGATGCAGATGAACTACAATGCTACCTTCCACTAAGCGCGACATGAATTCAAAAGTTGAGAATAATGGATGCGTGCAGATGCTACTGCAAATGTATATTAGCAGATTGTGCTAATTATGAAAAGAGCAAAGGAAAGCTCGAGAAAAAGAAATGGCATTGATATTATGTTGGTGACGTGCCGCTGTTATTGCGTTTTCATTTCTTTCTTTGCTACACGTCTATAAATCAATATCAAGGTGAAGCGAAAGTTTGATTATGAAGATATTGCTTTTTATTACTTACAGTACCCATTTGTTAAATGTCTTCGTTCACGGTCTCCCAAGCTTATCAGGAAGCATGGAGTGCTCCAAGCACATCAAGAGTGTGAATATTGACTACATGCAATTTAGGTGCTCCATGGTGGTGTTGCGACGTTAAACTCCACATATAAATCAATTCAGCTGCTCCTGGGCATGGACTAAACGCCCGTGTGTGCGCCCGATATGACCAAATCTACAATTACCTAGTAATTGTTGAAAACTTTCACACGTACAGCTGTCAATGCGCGTTGCAAAACGAATCTAAGCCAAAGTTCACCCACGTTTCTTCTCCTTACTAACAGCACCGGCCACTAATAACACAAAGTAATTATACACGAAAGCTAAATGACTAATACAGGAATTTCTTTAAAGAATTGGGTATTTCGTTCCTCGTGTACATGACAGTTCTTAGAGAAAGAGAAACACAATAGACGCTTATTTTGAACAAGCATCTCTGCAGACTAAGTGAGAAAGACAAATTAATAAAGAAGAAAAGAATTGACAGATACATTAAACTCTGCAAAAGATGCCAGCTACTCGTCAAAAGAAGTGTATGGATAGGGGATCACTTATTTCTACATCTAAACAAAAGAAAGGACAAAACAACCTGGAAAGACAGAAATAACATGGTGCAATGCGTGGGCTCGTGCGGCGGACTCACTGCGCAATATATAAAAACATTGACATCAGTTTTGTTCCCACGGTGTGTATTGCAAGCCGGCTTCCCTTGCGACAAAACTTCGTCGCTTTCCAATTCACTCTCATATTTACAGCCGCAATTGTACGCAGGAAGGCCCACACAGATGGGTATATTTGAGTGCCACGCCCTTATGAGCTTTACGTATTTAAATAGAGTGTGTTGCACGCACACTGAAGCATTTTAGAGAACAGGGAGACAGGTGGTGTGCATTCCAATAATATCCTCTTTTAGTGAATCTGTGAAGGTAAGTAGACGCGCTTAGCATGCCGGTTAAAACATAACTGCTGTTTTAGGACCAGATAGCACTCATTACAAGGTAACAAGTGCTTGTGACTGAGCCTCGAAGTGGCTCTTATGTTTTCGGTTTGTGCATTAGTGTTTGGCCTAAAATATTGGCCACGCAAGAAAAGCTCAAAGTACGATGTTTTGTTTGGGTTCACAATATAACACATACGTACAATCGATTAATACTTGCGGAGTGGTTCACAAATTTCACGCATCGAAGCCTGTGGAAATGCATTCGATAAATGGTCGTTGCTATGAGCAAAGGCCATTAATAATCTAGTACATTTTTGGTAACTATATTCCCGAGTTTCGCTAGTGTTTCTCGCTATAGTACGCAAATGTCACGTGGAACATAGAGCATGAGCTTGATGGGATGTATAAATAAGGCCGAAACTATTGATTGGCAACACTACAAAATTTGTATATGCCCCGCCGCGGTGGTATAGTGGCTAAGGTGCTCGGCTGCTGACCCGCAGGTCGCGGGATCAAATCTCAGCTGCGGCGGCGGCATTTCCGATGGAGGCGGAAATGTTGTAGGCCTGTGTGCTCAGATTTGGGTGCACGTTAAAGAGCTCCAGGTGGTCAAAATTTCCGGAGCCCTCCACTACGGCGTCTCTCATAATCATATGGTGGTTTTGGGACGTTAAACCCCCCAAATCAATCAATCTTCAACAAAATTTGTTTGTGTTTTTTTTTACCAGAAAGAGCTAAACACGCTGGTAATGAAACCGAGATAAACCCAATTTATCTTGCTACTGATGCTATGGTCGGCCCTCCAACAATTTTTTCGCCAATGTGTTCCCGTCCCACAAGGATAACTCAAAGCGAAATTGCGGCTAAAATATTTATAGCCCACTATAATCGGTTTTTAGTATTAAAAGTTGTATTTGGCTCTTACAGATTGCAATACCTAATTTGGCCTTGAAGTAGCTCATTTATTGGTTGATATGTGGGGTTTAACGTCCCAAGACCTCCATATGATTATGAGAGACGCCGTAGTGGAGGGCTCCGGAAATTTCGACCACCTGGGGTTCTTTAACATGCACCCAAATCTGAGCACACGGGCCTACAAAATTTCCCCTTCCATCGGAAATACAGCCGCCGCAGCCGGGATTCGAACCCGCGACCTGCGGGTCAGCAGCCGAGTACCTTAGCCACTAGACTACCGCGGCGGGGAAGCAGCTCATTTAAGGTATTGTAACATTTTGAGAAAAAATGTTATTGTCATGGGGTCGTCAAAACAACAAAGGGAGCAGACAGTAGGTTCAAGTATAGACTGTTTATTCAGCCGAACCTGTGGCCATGTAAAAGAAAATTGGGATTACAGCAAGACACTGGAACTGATGCCGGCGAACTGAGGGTCGGTCATCGATCAATTGACAAACGGCGAAGAGTGTCGGCATTTTGAACCTTGCCATCGAATATTCTAGCGTTATCGCTAATCAGGATGTAGGTTCCCAAATGATCTGTGACGGTCCTGAAGTGAACGTAATCTTAACAAAACGATCTACTAAAGCCTGGAAGCTTCTCGAACATCGTAGGCGCAGTTTGCGCTGAACATAGTGTAACGGGGTGATAACAAAACTTGAGGGAAAAAAACGTGGCAATATCTTCTTTGTACGTTCATCGGTGCAATTTTTTGTCGCACGGGCGTGATAGCAATGACTAGACTTGAGACATTTTTCCTGGCAAAATGTGCCCTTTTGTGTACTGGCGGTGACATTTTCTTCTAACTACCACATATTTCGTCTACCACATATTTCGTACCACATATTTCGTCGATTCGTCTTTTCTTCACCGGTATAGCAGATATGAAGGCCGAGTGGCTTACACCTGTGATTTTACTGAACATCGCACATATCTCATCCGTCGCATCACCCAACGTCTTTGACTCTTTGGGGCCATCGACCGGAAACGGTTTGTGAAATTTGGAAAAGCGCATGCAGTCAAGCAGCGCATCGGTAAAGCTTGGAACATGTTTGTTGAGTTGTTCACGCTGATTCGTAGCACGGGAGGTTCTCTTCAGCTAAAATTCATATTCACAAGAAGAGTGTCACGCTTCAGTTCTTTCTAAGAAATGTTTCCACACATTTTTGCCACTCAATATATCATTAAGCCAAAGCGGCAATAGAATAGCAAGTGTAACTTAGCGAGTCTAAGGTTGGCTAATTCGGCTGCTGTTATGACATAAATCGAAAGCCTCAAGGTTCTATGGTTGAAGGTCATGTGAGCTAACAACGAAGGTATAACGTGGCAAAAGTTCGCAGGTATAACCTGGCAGCAGAAAGCACAAGACTGGGTTGGTTGGCGGATCATGGGAGAGGCCTTTGCTCTGCAGTGCGCGTAGTAAAGGCTCATGATGATTATGATGACGATGATGGAATGCGGGGAGGCAGTAAGTCATCATGGTTGTATTTGTTCCATCGTATTTTTGTTCCACAAGCATATATCACTTTTATAAAGCAGCACAGCAAGGAGCCTTCTTTTATTTTGGACCTCATAACACACAAATATACAAACAGTGGTGGGTAGGTTATCCGCACCCTGCTAAACTAGCGCAACACGTAAAACGAGAACAGACGTGAGAAGTCGACGTGGGGCGCTAACCTTGAAGGATATCTTTTTCAGGTCACAAATGTTCGAATTAGGGCACAAGGTAAAGGGTGATTGATAACCTTAGTGATGAAATGAATGCAAACATGGTGGTCTACAATGTCAGTCTTGCGAAGGGCATCTCAAAAAGCTGATTGATGCCTTTTTTATTAACTTGTTTTTGCTAATTCTGTAACCTGCAAAAAAATATATTCCCTTGATTACGCAAAAAGGCGTAGGTAACATGCTGCCAGCCACTTCCGTAAAAAAAAAAATAGTACACCAGGAGCCATGTAGAGCACATGGAACATACAGCCCACTCAGTTTTCACAGAGATTTCTGCGATCAAGATATAAAGTAACGGCTGCTATGGAACAACACTTGCTCAATTGGGCCATTTTTCACACATTATTCATAATACTATTGCTACATGTTCTATAAATAACAAACGCTTCTCCATTAGATTTAACATGAGGCATACGTAATCAGCAGATCTTTCTTCTGCAAGTGCAAGGTCATTCGGAATTTCCCAGGCCACTATTCCAACTAATTTTGTGGCAGCATCACCTGCAAACTTTTGACAGCACCTGCACATGCTAGAAAATTTATGAAGTGAATTCAAATGTTTAAAAATCAACAAAGAGGGGTTTCCTATTCACTTGATAGGAATTTTATTTTCCTATGATCATAAAACGAAATACAGCACAGACGTGCTACAAAGTGTGTGAACGAAAATTGTCAACAAATTCATTTTATTTCGTCAGCTTTGTATCTGCGAATTTAAAATACGAAGAAAGAATATAACTTCCAGATACCCAAAGCACCTGTGTTGTTTCCCTATTGTAACAGTTTTGTGCAGACTTCTTTTCTGAAAAAGAGGAAAAAACATTTTGTCAGCACAACCACGACAGGAG